TTTTGTGTTCTTTTTGCTGTCTTTATTCTAAAACTTTACTTTTTATTTGTATTTTCAGCATCTATTCCTGAAATTGACCTTGCATTTGCGATTACTGCTACTTCCGCTGATGGCGCCGAAATCTACAAACTCATGAAATCAACAATCAAGTCAATCATCACCAAATATGGAAACGACAAGATCCACTATGGTGTTATCCATTACGGTGCAATCGCGTCCACTAAAGTGAAATTCAGTGAGAAATTCCCTTCAGTTGGTAATCTGAAGCGATACATTGATGCTTTGCCTCGTTATACTGGGGGTGTATCGGTGGACAAGGCTTTGGCGAGGGCAGATCTTTTGTTTAAAGACCCTGCTGTGAGGCCAAAGGCGAGAAAGGTTTTGGTAATGATGACGGATAATACTTCGGGAAAAACTCCTAAGGTAATTTTGATTGTGATTTTGTTGAGATTGTTTGCCTATAGACCCCTTAAAGTCAATCCAAAGTCAATGTGGAGGATAAAAGAAAAGACTTTGCTTTCTTGGAAATTAGAATCCATTGTTTTGCACCCCAGATTGAACTCCTTTCCCATGAACTAATAAGGGTTTATAACCTTGCAATCCAAGATGTTAAAATGTTATTTACAAGAGACCAGAGTGTGGAAGTGTAGACCCACATAGCTATTTTTAATTTCGTAACAAAATCAAAGTTCTTCTGACAATGTATATYTTTTCTAGGAAATTCTTATCGCTGCAAAGCCGCTTCACGATGCAGGGGTCACTGTAATTGCTGTATCATTCGGCAATCGAGTAAAGAAACCAGAACTGGAGTCAATGACTGGTGATAAGGATAAACTGTTACCATCGAACAAGAACGAGAACCCTGACAAACTAGGGGACAGAATCATTGAGCAAATCGTACAAGGTACTTAGAACTGAGAGTGAATAAATGGATGAGATATGGGAGGGATAAAAGAAATATAGAGTGTACTGAATGTTACTAAATGAATGAAATAATCAACTGGACAAAATAGCTGGATAGATTAATAAATTGTTATCAAGATAACTTACTATATTTGATTAGATTGTAATTTCTATTATTACCTGATTTTCCAAGACGCCAAGAAGATCCCTAAAATCGATCTCGCTTTTGCCATCTCCGCGACGTCACGAGATGCATTGCGCAMCTACAAACTCATGAAGGACGCCATAAAACAGATCGCAGACGAGTATGGAACCAGCAAAATACACTATGGACTGGTTGTATTCGGTGATGTAGCAAGTACTCAAATCAACTTCTTTGATACGTTCCCAAACAGCGAGAAATTCAAGGCGTTCCTGGACAGTATACAGAGGAATACTGGTAACTAGGATTTGAATTMTTCATTTGTAATGTTCTTTTCTTTCTTACATRAAAACACCACCAACAACGATAACAACACCACCTCCACCATCAACAACAACAACATTAGCAACAGCAATAGCAACAACAGCAGAAGAAGAAATTGCAGTAACAGCAGCAATGTTCAATATCATTAGGATTAGTATCATCAACTACGGCAATATACAACAACAACAGCAGCAGCAGCAGCAACAACAATAGCAACAACAACAACAACAACAACAGCAGCATCAATGACAGCAACAGCAACAATTAAACATTAATGCAATAGATATAGAAGCTGACGTAAATCCTTTTTAAGATAACCAAATATTTTCAGGTCGAGCTGATCTTGGTCAGGCCCTCTCTGCAGCCAGGAAATTATTCAACRACCCAGCGTCTCGYCCCGACGCAAAGAAAGTACTTGTCGTGATTACCGACAGATCTTCGGGTCTCGACGCGGTCACGATCAAGACATCGGCAAAGTCTYTAMATCAAGACAATGTACGAATCATTGCATTTGCCGTCGGAGACGATGGAAGCACGAAAGAACTCGAAAACCTGACGCCACACGTTGATGATGTCAAGAGGGTGCCTAGCAAYGAAGATGCTAAGAAATTTGGCAAAGACATTATGAAACTAGTGCTTACTGGTGCGTGCATGAGGTTTTAATTCTTTTGTTAATGATGGTGATGAAAATAATATGATGATGATTGTTAGTATTGAATCGATTATATCGTATACAGTCTTCAGGGTTCGCGCTACTCCTTGAAATCCTTGAAAAGTCCTGAAATTAAAAACTCGTTTTCAAGGGCGCTTGTAAATGGGAAAAATCGCTAAACCTCCTGGAAAACTCCTTGAATCTGAAGATATTAACATGTTGATTTTTGCCGTTTGGATTGAAATGTGGCTATTTTTGAAAATCGCCATTGGAAACATCAAAAAATATATTCAAATATAGTCCTTGAAAATCGCATTTTTGTGCTTAAAAAGTACTTGAAAAATCCTGGAATTTTGTAGTGAAAATATTGCACTAACCCTGAGTATTTTACCGTGTTTATTTAACTGCAAAACACTAGTCCTAATGTCTTTCATTTCCTCAAACTCTCTCCGTTACAATCCTTTCATAATCAAAAACCTTCATTTTCGTAGATCGCTTGGAAGAGCTCGACCTTGCCTTCGCCATCAGTTCGGTAGCAGCGAACGCGGACGAAACTTTCCGACGAATGAAAGAAACCCTTCGTATAATAATCGACCACTATGGTACTGAGCGCGTCTTGTACAGTATCACGGTATTTGATGAAGTAGCGAAAAGRATTGTCCGGTTTAACGATAAGTTTGCTACTAATGCSTTAAAGAGTTATATTAACCTYATAAGACGAAAGACTGGGACACCTGATATTGCCAATGCGTTGAAAGATGCTGAAAACATGTTTAAAAATGCTCCTGGTGCTCGTCCCAACGCAAAGAAAGTCTTGGTGGTTATGGTGGATAAGAGGTAAGGTAGTG